GAGTGAAGACTGACAGCCCAGGAAAGCTGAGAGACTCCCTCTTCTCTTATTTTAAATAACCTGTTGGTTCCTTGCAAGAAAAAGACTTATCTCCTGCTCAAGACACGGACAGAGCTGAAGTAGACCCAGTGTCTGCTGAAGTAAAACAGATTCAAACCTGTTAAAATATGATTGAATTCTCTGGCCTCAGAGTACCTGTGGCAGGTCCTGTTAAATATCCCTAAAGACAGTCATCTGCTTACACTGCCTATGAGTTAGCACGTTTTACGATAAGCCCCGTGAGAAAGTGCAGTAGTGATTCTTAAGTGCTGTTTCATGTTCTGATTCACAGGGAGGCTGATAACTTGAAATCTGGTCAACTTTTCATGCTAAAAATCAATAGAAATCTGTCAGCTGCAAAGGATGGCACAGTCAGCAGGCAGGGATCTTGAAATAAATTACATAACCTGCCAGCTCAGCCCTAAACTGAGACACTGTTAAATGTATTAAAACAGATGAGAAGATTATTTGAGGCTTTTGAAAAGAAGTGAAGGCCCATCTTTGAAATCCAAATGGACATTACAGGAAAAAAGGGATTAGTACAGGGGAAACTCTGGGATAAAACGTTTTGCTGCATGCGTGTTAGGAGGGCTGGTTTTTCTCTGCATGGGGCAAACCACCTGGTGGAACAGGTGATGCTGAACGCTTAAGCCTTTCTAGAATCAGTTTGATTTCTTTTCAGAAATCAGTTTTCTGATCAGATTTCAGAAATCAGATTTCTTTTCAGAATCAGTTTCTCTTGCACTGGGAAAGTATTTTGTTGCAGGAGCTTCAGAGTTACTTATGAAATGTTGGAATGAGACTGGGAAGTGTGCTGGCTTTTGCTTGTGGCTGCTGCATTCCGAGGATAACCGGGAATATATGTGTTAAGCCTTAAGCTTCTATTTTGCCTGATGGTGTGCCTGAGAAGGTAAGAGTGTGAGAATGGAGAGAGATTCTGTTGATTTTCTGTGGCCTTTCAGATTGATGTTGAACTGTTGAAACCCCTGGATTTCCAGAGCTGAATGCAAATAATTCATATGTGTACATTTATTCATGTTCTTCAAAGGTGGCCGTTAAGATCTCCAGTTGGCTCTCACATGGAGAAGTCCATTCATCAATGGCATTGCTGTGGGAGGAGAGGCACACCTGCATGTTTCAGCAAGTTCACAGCTGTTTGCTTCTTTGTGCAGGTGTTCAGAATAGTGAGTACTTGCCTGGGCAGCCCTCCGGAGACCTTCTGCTGGGAGTTCCGGGATAAGGAGAAGAACTACCACAAATATGGCCCTATGACACCAGTGGAGTTCTACAATGAGCATGTGAAGCCTTACTTCAACATGGAGGACAAGGTTGGGGATGCTGAAAGGCAGTAGCTTCTCAAGACCTTTTTTTGCTGCTATGTGACTTATTTTCCACTGTTGAAAGGGTACTGTCCCCCCCTGTAACTGCACCATATGGATGGGTACTGCTTCCACAAGTCAAACATGGCCCTGTGTTTTTTTTCTCCCTATTCTCCTGTTTGCACTCTACCCTTCAATTAGCTCTGATCTTGCATTGCTGCAAGTCCATGATGATTTTGTAATGATAAAATATGGAATGATCTAATGAGTCAAAGTGCCATAAGACAGCCATTAGAGAGCAGGAATAACGTGCAAAGCTGCTATGCCACAGTTCTGAGGTGAACTTATAAAACAAAAAAAACCAAAAGCTTAAAAAAAAAAAGTGGTACTTCAGCCAAGTGGCTTGTTTGCTAATGGGATGACAGCGAGCTGGGACAAAAGCAATTCTCTAAAATCCATCTAGATTAATTTCTCAAAGATTTCAGGTAAGTTGCACTTTAATTTATGACATCTTGTTTTTTGGCAGATTTGCCTAGTGAATGATCCCCGACCTCAGAACCCGTACAACAGGCTGTACACAGTGGAGTACCTGGGCAACATGGCAGGAGGGAGGAAAACGCTCTATAACAACCAGCCTGTTGATGTCTTGAAAAAATTAGCTGCAGCGTCTATTAAGGATGGCGAGGTTTGTTTGGTTTCTCTTCATGGATGGCATGGTGCAGCTCTTGTCATGTAAAACTCACTGGGATATGGCCCAGACATGACTCTTCCTTCTATTTCTAGGCTGTGTGGTTTGGCTGCGATGTTGCAAAGCACTTCTATGGCAAGCTGGGAATCAATGACATGAATATGTAAGTAGAAAATCAAAACAGAATACCATTTGGGATACTTGGCTAGGACATAAAGAGTGCTTTGGCTGCTTAAGAAGCTAATTTGTCCATACTTTGGATTATATACCCAGAAAGAGTATATTTAAGTAATTCAGCAGCAGCAATGTTTTTTCACTTGTTAGCTAAGATCTGAATCCTTTAAAGATGCACTACAAGTGATCGTTAAATATTCTTACTCATTTGAATTGTCTAGTGATTGGTGAGAGAAACCCCTAAAGGGATCAGTCTTTTGCATTTATTCTGACACTAAAAATAGTTAAATTTATGTCCCTGTGCACTGGCTCCTGAGATAGCACAAGTCTACTGATACCCTGAGGTACCAGTGAGAATCCTCCCTGCATTCTTTTTGATATTGCTGCATGGCTTTCTGATAGATTTAATCATGAGCTGGTGTTCGGTGTCTCCGTCAAGAACATGAACAAAGCAGAGCGATTAATCTTTGGAGAATCACTGATGACCCATGCCATGGTCCTGACAGCTGTCACCGAGAAGGTAGAGTCTCCTTCCTGAAGTTCTGATGCTTGCACGGATGTATTTGAATATTCTGGGAGTTTGTTTGTGTTCTGGGCTCATGCACAGCACGTAAGCTGTTCTGCTCGAGTTCAGCATGTGTGCAAGGCCCAGGTTGTCTGTTCTGCCTGTGTGGTTTGTGTTTGAGTGTTCAGAACTATAAATACTTAACAAGGAGGGAAGAATTTTTGGTAAGTCAAGGACTTCTTTCCTTCTGCCCGCAAAATTTATTGGACAAAGGGAAAAGAAAGTCAACTTATTTTAAGATCCCAGAAAACCTATCTTAACTGAATTTTAAATACAGATTCTGATGTATCTTGCTGAGCAAGAAATCTAGTACGACAGCAAGTATTTCCTAGCGTGTCCCACTGCCTGGGTTAGTCCCATCTATGTTTTACAGCGTGAAGCTCCTTCTGTTACAATGCCAGTAGGAGGCACTTTGCAACAGTCTTAACCTCCTGCAACTCACTGGCATGTGGCCTCTCTGACCTACTCATAATTAGGGAAGGAAAATGGTGTCCAAAATAGCTCTGTGGCAGAGATGAATTCACAACTAAATCTGCTCCTGGCAGCGTAACAAAGCACATATGAAGTAAAAAGACGCATGTGAAAATTTACAACTCAGGGTTATCTGTAGTGTTGATGTTTTCCATTTATTTCCAGTAGCTGTCATTATAAAAGTTTCTTTGAAGTGTTCTCTTCCTGTCCAGCGTGACCTTGGCTGAGAAATAACAGCTTGCATATAACTGCAAAAGTTTGCTTGAGCTCTGGAGTTTGAGGGCTTGAGATAGGACTGCTGAGTCATGCAAATTTTTGAGTTACTTTTTACAACTGAATATTTTTCCCGTTGTGTTCTGAGCTCTTAACGTTTGTTTTATGTATCAGATTGCATGAACACATCTTTTAAAAAAAAATCATTTTTCAGATAGAGATTGAAAATGATACTTTTCTAGTGTTCAAAACATACTTCTCTATACACAGCTGAAGTGTGTGTGTTTGTACTAATTGTCACCAGTTACGGGCTGCACTTTATTGGCAGCTGTAGTCTATGGTCTAGATTTTTAAACTCGTTCTTGTGCATGCCTAAATGCGTAGGTGCGTAAAATGTGATCAAACGTGACCTGATTTCCTTAAGGATGTGTATAAGATCAGTATGTGATGGATGGCATCTCTAAAATCAAAAGACTGTTTAAAAGAAATTATCCTAGAAGTTCGGCATTTATAGAGGCTTTTCCACATTCAAAATGGACGAAGTTATTTCTACTTTTTGTTTGAACATGTTGTCTTGTATTAAACCTTAACTTAATCTAAAGGAGCTTTGATAAACAGTTGTAAAACTGTAATACTTTGGATTTACCTACCTTTATAAAAAGGCTTTGAAGATTTAAAATGTCCTATTATGATTTTACAACGTGAAAAATTGATGTGGATTAAATGCACCTTTGGGTTAAAAACTTAATGCATGTAAACATGTTTATCCCAGTTTCTGTCCGATAGCATCAGGAGTTGACTTATCCTTAGTCTGGTACCTCTCGAGTGTCTTGTTTTAAGGACTGTCCTGTGTTTTGTAAGTGAGAATGGAAGCAATACAACAATATTCCATTGAATGTTAGAAATGGATTTGTGGGGTGTTTTTCAGGTTAGTTTTTTGTATTAAAAAAATAAATAAATTTCATAGCAAAAGAATAACTATTCTTTGGTTCCTCAAGGGACCTGCTGTTTCCTTATGAGAGGCTGCTTGAAGGAAGCAGCAGTTCCAAACCCACGAAGCTGTTTTCAGTGCTTTTATGTACTTGACAGATTTGAACCAGGCTTCAGATAGACCCAGTGCAGCTGGAATGCTGCATGCTTCTGCACATAAAGTCAGATGCACTTCATGCTCATTAGAAACCTCGTCTGTCATTCCAATCCCTGGCCTTAGAGCCGTATCCTTCAGCTGGATTTTTCCAGTGTTTGCACTTACTAATACTGTTCTAATTACAGTGACTTCATTGCCCTTGTTCCTTTCCTCTGATTCCTCATTCAAGGGAGTTGTGGGTTCTGCATTTCAGAAGACCCCTGTGCCCTATCAGGTGATAGGGAAGGCTGCTCAAATTCTTACAGTTAAAGTCCAAACTTAAATTTAAGTTTTCTGGTTAAAATAAATATTTATTGCAGGCTCTCGACCACATTTCCTTATACTTTATGTAAGCGGGTGGCCAAGTAGTTTAGAAAATTACATTTCTCCAACCAATTAACAAGAAGCCATTGTCTGAAACTTGCGAAAGCCTGTAGACTTTTGGGAGTGGAGCTCTGTGGTTTGGTGCTGGATTTAAACTTGAAAGAGTTGGCTGCTATAAACTTGCATGGCCCTTCACTGCTGAACAGCCATTGACTTGTTTTGTCACAGGATGGACAAGAAGATGCATTTGAAAAATGGAGAGTGGAGAACTCCTGGGGTGAAGACCGTGGTAATAAAGGTAAGTAACTTCAAGTCATGGGAACAGAAGGCTGAACTTAGTGTTTGGAAATAAGGAGGTGGAAGGGGGAAAGTGGATGTGCTGTGTGTCCTTCACTGGGACGTGTGTGAAACAAGCCTGCAAACAGCGTGTGTATCACTGAGTTATGGCACTGTATTCCTGGAAGATAAACATTCTTCACTTAATTGTGATTTAAATCTAAGCAAATCAAATGTAAACATTGACTGGAGAAGCAGGAAATGTCACTGGATAAACTTGACAATGTGGTTGCAAGTTCAACTGTAGAGGCAACTGCATTTTTGGGAGATGGCCATAAGTGATTGACAGTTCTTGACAGACGGGGCATCTCGGTCCCAAGAGCAGGAGGACAGAGTTGACAGGAGCCCTTATGGAGGCTGAAACTGGAACTCTGCATATAGCTTAATGATACTGGGCATATATTCTCTCTTTTCACAATCTAAAACTGTCTTAGTGTATGCAGTGTAATGGGAAGATACTGGTAGACTTCTGTCACCAGATCAAATGGATTCAGACCATCTGACTTTTAAGTAATTTGGATAATAGTGGTTTCCTTCTCTCTTCACCTGTGAGAGCTTGAGTGACATCCTGTCAGGTCACATTAATATTAGTATTTGGAGAGTGTACCATGAAGAGTGCAGGTCCTGTTGGGAGTAGTAGGGCTTATCAAAGGAATTCTAGAAAAAATGTATCTGAAGTTCCTATAACGAAGTGTTTAAAGTCATAAACTTTGATAAAATAACTTTTTAAGGTTGATTAGTTTATTGCTGTAAAGCTGCTTATTTTCCTAAGCATTGTATAACAGTTTGCTGTTGATCACAAGTAAATTGCCAGCCATTATCCATGTCAAAAAGCCAGCAGCTGCATGAGTTTGACAAGCAGAACCTTTGCTATTTTGTTGTTCGTAATCCTTTGCTGTGGAACACAAGTCTGAGAAATCTGGTAGTATTAGTCTGAAAAATGTGGTAATACTTCTCTTCTGAAGTACAGAGAATTCTAGTGGGCATGTAAACCGATCCTTTAATAAAAGGACAATAGATAAGAAATGCTTTGCAGTAACAAATAGGATGGGATCACTTCCAAGTGCACTGTATAGAAGTGCTTTCTCCTTCTAGTATGAAAGCAGAAAAAAGGACTTCACTGCAATACTTTTAAGTGTAGCAAAGTTTTTGGTAACAGAGCTAAGTTTAAATCTGTAAACCACAGCTGACTCATCTTTGGGACCTTAGTGGGACCTTAGGCTGGCTGTGGCTGATAGTACTTCAGTGATTCATGTGTGAAACCGAAGTGGTTTATATTTTCTTTTAAAGCACTATTTATCAATCACTGCAAGCTTTTACTTACTGATTTTGTAAATGAGGAAAAGAGGGAATGGCTGCTTCCAGCTTGTGCTGTGAACAGCTGCAGTGTAAACTGCTCTAGCTCCAACACCTGTCTGTAAAATAAAATATTTGTTTAAATTGTAATTCTGGTTGCCTCTCTAAAGCAGTGCTGAAAACACGACCTGTGGCATCCTTGCAGTGTTCCCCTCTGGTGTGACAAGCACTAGCAACTACAAAACCCAGTGGCACGCAGCTCAGCTCGTGCCAGGTTTTCTGCATGAACTTGCTTTCCTGTTGATGACTCTCAGCCCGCACTATTGTTCCTTGAAAAAGGATTTGTAAGTGCCATAGTGGGGTGGATGCACCAGCCTGGCATGGCATGTGGGCAGGTGGTGTGGACAAAATGGTGAGTCACAGCTGAGTGGTGGTTTAGGAAATTGCTTCTAGTTGCTTCCCTACTGAGGCTGGGAATGACCGGAGGGTGCTTCTCTGCCTGGTCTGGGGGCCAGCTCTGACCTCCCCGGCATGAGGACAGTGGGGCTGATGGTGTGAGAGCATTTCTGCTTTGCTCTGCCAAGGCCTGCAGTCAGTCAGCTTTTCCTAAACCAAGTGGAGGGAAACTCCATGATTTTTGTCATCTCCTATCTGAGACAGGCCGGATGTGGCCTGGGCCGTGGCATGATAAGCCCACTGACCGTGCCGAGCCAGACTTGGTGTGTCCCAGGGCATAACACAATAGTCATTGCTGACCACATTTTTCTGTTGCAGATTAATCACAAATGTTATGCTCACAAGATTTGGTATGGCTGAAATTTCCCAGGATGTTGGGGGTTTCTTCTGGGAGTAGACTATTTCCGGAAACACTGTTTTAGGATGTGGTCTTATTCATAAGCTTTTGATATCTTGTACATGAACAGCTAACAAAAACATAGAATATTCTTGGAACAGTTTCTGTTCTGGCCTCTTGGTCTTGCAGTAGTGTCTGTTCTGAGTTAGCTGTATATATTCACAACAAAGTATTCCAATAAAAATGTCAAAATAACAGAACTATGCTGATGTTCAGCCTTCAAGGCTCCTCAATGTGACAGGAGTAAAAGGTACTTTGGAATGTAAAGAAGCCAAATCAATACTAAAAAGTAACATCAAAACTTTTCTGGTCTCCAAATTCAAACTAATAACTACTTTGTTAAGAACATTTATGTATAATAGAGAATATAAAACATAAACTGCCTGGTTAGTTGTGCTCTTATTGCCAGAACACTTTGTTTTGAGACACTCTAGATACTTGGTTTGGGATGTTAGATGCTACTAGTGTTAGAGGAATGCTTCCAGGAAGGAAGCATCTTACTCGGCTTGCTCTGCCACTGCACAGTGGACTTTGGTTAGGACTCCATTCTGAAGTTAATGGCTGTCAGCAGCTTTGTGCTGGCCATGTGTGCTCCCTGGCCAAGGTTCAGAGTCGCTTTCTGTTACAACCGGAGAAAAACTGGGCTCAATTTCAGGATACTGGCTATGACTCCCAAACCACAGTGCAGTAGACTGAAGCCTGACACCACTAGTAAGTGTTGTACCTGTTGAGCTGTGACTGAGCAGTGGCAGTTCTGTGCTGGTGTTACTGGGCCGGAGTATCAGTGAATGCTCTTGACAGCTGTGGAGGCTCTGACTGTGAAGGGCCACATGCATTTTTGGCTTTCTTCACTTTGAGCATGTAATCCAAAATCAAAAAAACCTACAGCAGCTAGAATGAAAAGTGTAATGCCTCAGGCTTTAAGTTAGAAATAACACAAAATTAAACTCACACTAGTTGTCTGAGTGTTGCTTTCAACTTGTTTTCCAGCTTGCTAGGCTTAACTTGCTACTTGGTTTGCAGTAACAGTTTATCTTCCTTAGACTTTATCTCTCTTCCAAATATGGATTCACTTTCCAGAATGAGTTCTCCTAGAGCCATTTAAGAGGAGCTAGTTGTTCTTTTGAAATATAATAGGACCCCAGAGTGACTTGAATAAAGCCTGCCTGTACCTTGTATGCATGCCATCTCTGAACTGTTCTGGGTGAGTCACTGTCGTTTATCTGTTTTGTACTGGTAGGGACCACGGTCTCTGGAAAGTCTTGCTCACTGTCTGTATTTTGGTTAGGGAATTTCCTGGAAAAGTGCCTTGAGAGAAAATCCCATCAGAACTATGAAGCTTGACTTTTATTTCAGACTACTTTTTTTCAGGGAGGTGAATCCCTAAATGATTTTCTTGGGTATAACCACACAACCCACTGTTGAGCTAAAGGCAACTGGACATATCTGTCTTTCAGAGCTCATTCTCAAACATGACAAGTAACTTGCCAGGGTTTCTTCCCCTTCCTCCTGCCCTGCTTTTTGCCTCTGCAGTGTCCAGTACTTGCTGGTATAGGAGGGTGAGGATTTGTAGTCTGTCCTAGCTCTCTTGCTATGCCACTGAGTCTGTCTGGCAGTAATTTATTTTTTTTACTCTTATCTGCCTTGTTAAGGAATTGTGAAGCTGTGCTTGGATAAGTCCGGTGCAGAGAACCAGAGTCCACATCAGCAAGGAGGCAGCCAAGAATGATGTTAAACTTGGCACATCCCAGTTGAGGCCCAGCTGGGTGTGGGGGATACAGGCAAGCCCCAACTCTGTTATTTCTTGAACAGGGTGATAAAGGGTACAGCCTGCAACAAAACCCCAGAGACTAGACTTCGAGTCGTTAGAAAACAAACAAGTGACTTATTGTTGGTAGGAAATGGAAGTGTTTTTTCACATGGGGTCCCTCTTGCTTTTCCCTGGGTATCGTCTTTAAGGTGCCAGATAACACCTGTATCCCCAGACTTGCATGGTGAGGACTGGAAAGACTGTGACTCCCGATTTGGATATCGTGGGATGAAGTTATTTGTATGCTCATGCTCTGTGGAGTGGGCAGAACTGAATTCTTGTGGTGGTGTTTGTCTCAGAGAAAGGGAAGCCCTGGGAACAGCCTAGCATTGCCTCTCTAAATATTTAGTAATTAAATTCATATCTGTTGTATAAGTGTTTCTTGGAATACCGTCTGTTTTTCCTCAAGGAGCAAACACAGCTGCTGACAAACATTGCTTGTTTTTTGAGGTAAAAAAGTCACTTCCCAGTCAAATATTTCCTTTCTGTGTTTCACTGGCACTCTGTCAGCCATAAAGGCAAGTTTAATTATTCTGCGTACTCTTTTGTTCTAGAGACACAGTACGTTATTACCTAACTTTGAACCCAGCTTATCCCATCGGATATCTTTTTTTTTTTAAAGGCAAGCAAGAGGGGAACACTAAATCATGTTATCACATCCATTTGATAGGGGTCCATCTGCTTGTTTTGGCAGGAAAAGAACTTTCTTGTGGTACATCTTCAGCTAAAAGTCAGCTCCCTCTTGACTTTTTTAATCTCTTATACTGACTTGCATACTTAACTCTGCTCATGAAGACATTTTAAGGATTTAACTGTAGACACTTAAGTGTCTGTGTTCATGTATGTGTATATATATCATCCCATAATTACAATATGACAGAAAGACTCTGTGAATTTGTTCTCCCTGTGGAGGAGTTAAGGCACAAGCACCCAGTGGCTTGTACTAGGTCCTTGGGGAACTATGCAGGGGCTTTATTTTGAGGTGCCCAAATCCTGGTTAGGCAGTAACTCACAGGCCATTCATCCTCGTCTGACCTCTCCCTGGCCAGCAGCTTGTCCGTTTTGAAATGCTACAGGTTCAGATTTTCCTTTGGGTAAGTCAGAGAAATGTGGACCAACCTCATACACAGGTGTACACTTTTGTAGCCAGGTGCTGTGTTCTATTAGTGCAAGATGATGCTGTTCCCAGTTCTGTCCTATATCCTGACCGTAACATACAAATAGTTTGAGAAGAAGCAATAGCTTAATTACCTGAGGTAGAACTCCATTGTGTACCCTGCTCAGAAACGCAAGAAACTTTTCTGTTTCTTTCCTGCTTCTGCCCGTTACCTGGATGGAACACAGAGCTCAGGGTTGCCTTAGGCAGGCTCCGAGCTGTATGTATTGCTGCGTACGGATATGCGTCTCCTTTTAATGAAGAAATTGATAATGGCTTTCATCGTGACACTGGGCACAGGACTTCTCAAAGAGCGACCTTACTTATTTGCATGTTCTGAAGTTCTGCTTGGCGTTTCCTTCTTGTTCAGACGCTGCGATCCTAATCAGCACTGTCAAGCTTTGAGATACAGGATGTCAGAAGCAGAGTTCATTATCCTCTCAGGGTGCAATTACTTGTTGGCTCTTGGGAGTGAGAGGTTTTTGTGTGTCCCAAGAACTCATATCCTGAAGACAGAATAATCAAGGCAGCTCCCTTTGGCAGTGTTTCCAAAATGGCTGCTAGCTCGGATTACAATTGATAGGGGTTTTAATTTATGGGAATTATCTGATCTCTTGCTTTAGAAACAAGATGGTGTAGATAGATGCATTTATTGTCCATATTCTTTGGACATTTTCTTGTTTCATTTGATTGTGTGATGATACTGTATAAGGACATGAGGAACTTTATTACATAAAGCCTCCTCATCTGTCTTCTAAATGCTTGCTTTCTCCCAGCTGCTCTTATTTTCAGTTCACCTTGAATAGTTTGTTTCCAATGGTAGCTTTCTGCTAAAACGTGTGATACTCTAACTGTGACTTTTTTTCACCCCCAATTCAAAGGCAGTTCACTGAAATTCTCAGTAAGAATTGTATTAACGGAGAAAATTCAGATTTAGTTCAGCCAAACTAGATGGTTTTACATTTGAGGAAAGCAGATGACCTCGTTCTCTTACTGCAAAAACTAAACCAGCAAAGTTTTCTTAAGCCAAAGATGGTTTGGATATTCACTTGGAAAATTTCCCTTTTCTAAACCAAATCCTGTAAACTCCTAAAGCCAGATAATTCTAATAACTTCTAAATTCAGATAATTTCACATTCTGCCTTAAATACTAAGGGTTTTTTAAGGCTTTGTAATTCACTTGCATATTCTCAATGCCTATTTTAACAGAGGAAGCATGAATGATGAATACTTTGGGTCTTGCTTTTCCTAGTACGCTTCTTGCTTGGTCTTTCAGTGCACATGAAGTACATCGGGTTAGTCCGTATGTTAATTTCTTTGGGATTTTTTTTTTTACTTGAGAGGTACAAAGTATGATTAGGTGCTGTTTGTACTGCATCATTCATAGGTGAAACTTGTATATGTGACTGCTTCACTGCATTGGTAATGGTTCTCTGCAGTAACAAAGTGTTTTCATCTCCAGGTTACCTGATCATGACTGATGACTGGTTTTCTGAGTATGTGTACGAAGTTGTGGTGGATAAGAAGCATGTACCAGAAGACATCTTGGCAGTGATGCAGCAGGAACCAATTGTTTTGCCAGCTTGGGACCCTATGGGGGCTTTAGCCAAGTGAACTAAAGAATTTTTGCCTCTTAATGGTCAACCAGAAGTAGATGCAATAGCGAATTCCAGTGGTTGGAAGCCATAGCCAAATGATAATGTGACCAAGCACTCAGCATGGTCTGTATTCTTGAAATGTAAATTAAGGATCTTTGGAAAATAGCGCTTTACTGACCAGGCTGAATAAAGCTCTCAGACAAGCTACTCTGCAAAACTAAAATAGGAAAAGGAAAAACTCATAATGAAAATGTATTACCAGTGCTGTCAATGGCAGCTTGATTTTACCTTAAATTTTTAATAAAAAGTATAGTAACTTAGTAGAATCATTTTGACCAGTGTTTTCCTTAGAAAAGGCAGCTATAAAAGGCCCTTTAGAATTAACAGCTAGGTGACTGTTAGAAGAAATACATCAAGATACTTAGAAATTAACCATTCATGATCTGACTTGTACCATAAAAGAATGCCCAAAATATTTTATATACTTAGATTTTTAGTTTTGCTGATGTTATGGAGGGGACATAAGAATTGGAACTGCTAAAAATTACCTTTAGAAAATTTTCTCTTCAAACAGAATTGGAGGTGGGAGGAAACTGTTTCCTTGAGGTTTCCAGTTTCACTTGTTTCTATTCTTCCATTATCGAGGTAAGACTGGATAACCCACATCAAGGCCCAGTGCTATGTCTGTGTGCACAGGAGCGCTATTTTTCAGTTTATTAGCAAGAACAACCATAAGTATGTTCACAGGTTGGAGTTAGTGTCATGCTCAACAGAAAAACCAATGTTTTAATTGCTGCATTTTATCTGGATGTTTTAAAAAACAAGATGGTGCTATGAAGCTTTTGAATAAACACTTTCTAAAGTGACTGGTACAGTTATATGTGTTTTTTTTTTTAATGAGCCTCATGTAACTAATGAAATGGAAAGATATTAGTGACCTGCAAACAAATCTAAGTTAGCCAGAATGTGAACATATCAGGAGAACATGCTACTTCATGTTCTCAATCATAGATGCTCCTCTCACTCAACAAAGATAAACCCAAATGTAGTATCTCGGCCCTACAGGCACTCAAATAGTTTGGTGATGATCACAGTATTAATCCTTTGATTTAATTGTGCCAAAATGGCAGGCTGTCTCTGTGTGCACCCTCACAGTTTTCCTGTTCTGTACTGGGTTTAGTCATAGGCAAATAAGAGGGTAAGTGAGGTTAAAGAGCCACACTGAATCACAACTGCCAGCTGTCATGAGTAGCAGATTGATGTTGCTTAAGGCAAGTGCAAGCAAAAAAAGGATATTTGGTATGGTTAAGGTACTCTACAATTTGGTTTGACTTTTCCATTCGGACTACAGAGGTAGAAAGTTATTTAATTATTTTAAAGAATATCTTCTGCTAGTTATACAAGTGTGTGTGTGTATATGTATGTACATATATTAAAAATGCCAAGCTGAATAATGTCTGCATGTTTCCTGCTAAACTAAATCCAGATTAGGGTTTGTCTAGGAGTCATCCGAGATTATTCAACCTGCTATGATTAATGTTTCCTGAAGTGGGCAGGAGTGCTGGTTAGAGAAGAGAATTTGGTGTGGAACAGCAGCAGGAGGTTATTGTTACTGTCCTTGAATGATGTGTTTTAAGAGTCTGTGCACTTTGCAGTATTTTCTGCAGAAGTAACAAAGCTGTTGTGGAGATGCACAGAATGTATTTTGGCAGTACAGTGGTACTATAATTTGATTCCCTTCTAGGAAAACCCAGCTCATGTTATCCTGGGCTCATGTCAAAAGGTTTTCTGTCGTCTCAAGAGCTGTGAGGGTACAGGAGCAAATGGCTATTGCTCTCAGCTTGCCTTCTCTAGGAGTAACAGTCACTAGCCATAACAAAACTATACCTTTGCAGTAGATTTTCCTAATCTAGAAGACTCCAAGTTCTAATGCTCAGATCTTTTTCTGTGTCTTGGGACAGGCAGATGACCTTTCTTGCTTTCTACAGTGTTGACTGGCAGAAGCAGGCATCGCATGCAGTTATCTTTGTGGAAGCTTGGGCATACCTTCTAATTATCAGGATATTGTATTGTTGATTTGTCAAATATATTTAATTATCAGGTTATTGTCAAATATTTTGCTGCTGCTTCTGATTTATACTCTAAGTTCATGAAAATGTCATCTCTATCAAACTATGTGTATTGTGTAAGGAACAGTGCCGAGCCAGGAGTAACTGGATATGCGAATACAGCATGGAGAACAAGTGTGAACTAAGTTTGAGTGATGTGGAAAGAAAAATGTAAAAATGTCATGGTTGATGACATATTCTTGTAGAAAAAAAGTAATGGAATACTGAGGTGTATAAGCAGAGAAATAGCCTCCAGTATATGTAAGGTTACTCAGCTTTGTCCAAGACTTGGAGAGTGAGCTGGAGTGCAGTATCTAGTTCAGGGCAAATGCAGACCAAAATGAGCGTAGAGAAGAGCAGTAAGAATTATCAGAGGACTTGAAACTGTGGCTAGTAAAAGGCTGAAAGAATCATGGAGTTTAGTCAGAGAAAAGGGGATACATCATGTTCATTTAATTTGTAAATGGATGCTTTAAAGAAGGGAATTTTGTTCCCACTGCTCATGATGAAGCCCATGACTTTTTGATAAATTTAACTGCAGCAAGATTTAGCGAGATTAGGGGAAGCTTTCTGGTGATAAAAATAGTGAAGAACTGGCATAGATTGCCTGAGGATGTGAGATGTCTCCATTGTTAGAGATCTTTAAGAACAGGTTGCAGAAGAACGTGTCAGAAACAGCACTGGTAGCATTGATCCTGCTTTTTGGCAAAGGGATGGACCAGATGACCTTTTGAGGTCCCTTTTTGGCTTTACGGGTCTGCAATGCACAATCTCTCCCTCATGCTGTGTTACTTGCATCAAAGTGAGTAAACAGTCTTGTACTTGGTGCTGAACCCTGGTGGCTCTGAAACAAAGCCAAATCTCCTGGGAAGCTGTATTATGCACAATATTTTGATTATGACTAATGCATGTGTTGTTTTGGGGGCTTTTTTTCCTTCCAAAAGGTCAGTATTTTGGTCTTTCAAAAATCTTTCTGCTTATGACATTACACCAGTTCTTCTATTTCCTTTGTGCTGTCTATGAGGGGGGACAGCAGCCAAAGAGAATTAACTTTTTCTCTGGAGTTTAACTGACTAACATTTTTGTTGCCCATGGCAGCACTAATGAGAATTGAGTCTGACAAATTAAAAACTGTTTCCAAGCCAGTTTTTGTTAATTTGAGTGTTTAAAAGTATTGTCCAGCATGTGCTTATCTCTGCAGCTCTTGCCCAGATATTTCCCTGTACAGCTTATACAATAGTATGTTTTTTTTTCCGTTCCTTCAAATGAGCACAGAAAATCCACATGGCTAAAACACGTTATAGGAAATGAAGCCAATCTGGCAGAAAGTTTTGCCTTTATGCCCAGCAATTTTATAAGTTCTTTGTAAGAAGGAATGGGGAAGAGGAGAGGAAATACATATGTCAAAGCAAGAGCTGTATTTCTTCTACTTTGAGGACTCTAAGGGCAGTGAACAAACTGTTCTAAGCTTCATGCCGATGACACTCATTCAAGGCTGGCACAATATTAGGTGGGACATTCTCTGTTTTGCCACCTGTGTAATAACAACCCACGAAAATGAGTCTGTGCCTTTGGTAACAATCAATAGCTGGGCACTCTTGCCAAGTAGCTGTCTGTTACCCATAAATCAGTGTCATACCTTACAGGCAAGTGAGCTTGTTTTTAAACAGTAGTTTGAAACGCGAATAAAACCAGTATGTATAAAATGATTTTCCATTACAGCTCCTGTTGATGTGATGTTTACTTGGATCACTCTACCCTTTAGTCCTAATGGAAAAATCACTGATGTGATCAGCAGCCCTCAACTGGGAGATAGCTGAGCAGATGATCCTGAGGCCCTACGCTCTGTACGGAGGCTGAGGAAGTTCTCGGTGTCCTGCATAGCATAAGGCACAGCTGGATCCAGAAGACCCTCAGTCTCTCCTCAAGTGCATGGAAGTCAGAGTACAGCCCAGAGATGACAGAACAAATTAGCAGACTTGGCCCAGCACCTCTCCAGCAGGGTAGTATGGGAGCATGTAAACGAGGAGCAGAATACTTAACTCCTGTCAGTTTGTAGGAAATGGTTCAGAGATGATCAAAAATTAAACTCTTTCCAACTGATGGAATGGAAATAATGTGGGAATAAGCCTAGCTTGCTACAGGTTTAGTCTCTCAGCAAAGAAAGTTCTATGCCCTATGAACTGTAAACACAGATTACCAAAAAATTTAACATCCAGCTGGTAAAAAGATGCTTACGTTAGACTAAAAAAAACAAACCCACTGAATCCCTTCTGTGTTTCAGTGCTGTTTCTTCCTTCACTTTATATCCTTTGCAAATCTTTAAAGACTTTGGGATTGTTGAGGAACTGGACAACTAACAGGTAGTTTCCTGTTAGTACTGTCAACAAAACCATATAGTTTTCATGTGATAATTCAAAACCAATTCTTCTGACAGGTGGAAAATATTGACAGATAATATTATAAAACTCAACTATCTCAGATTCAATCAAAAGTTAGAAAATAACTACTGCTAAGAAAAGGAGGAGGCTGGAGGAGAGGTTACGTGTAGTGGTGGTTTCTAAGTTCTCAGAATCAGATTTCTCCATCCGAATGCTTTCTCAAAACAGTTGTAGTGGAAATAGCAAAACCTCTCCAAAACCCATCTAATTCCCAGATGTATATCCCGGCACAGTCAGCTTAGAAAATAGCAGGGAAGGGCAAGCAGAATTCCTTTTATCCCATAGCCAAGCTTAATAGCTTCTAAATGTAGTCTGATTCCTAACTAAGCAAAAGATGGGAACAAATAAATATTTTAGGATTTGTTTGTTTTGTGTTATTTGGAAGATTGTTCCTATCCTCTTACTGGCAGTGAATCAGAGACAGGCCTGCAGAATTATTGTTAATCTCGTAGTACAGCTGGTACTACTGTTAATAGGTAATTTGATGGATGCGTCCCATTCTTGTGCTGGCACTGGTAACTGGAATCTACAGCTGCTTTATCTGTGGAGATCTGTGGAAGTGTCTGAAGTTATGTCTTGTGTGAAGTCCTTTTTCTTCCTCGTTTTTTCATACTTTCCCTAAATCATGAGGATTTTGCCTACCAATGTGCAAAGGATTTCTTGACATTGTGATACTGACTCAGTACAGGACCCGAAAGTTTTTCACATATGGGGTAAATAAGTGTCATAAAATTGAAGGGTTTGCCTGAAATCTCATGTCTGTTATTTATATTATGCCCCAAAGGCTCCAGACTGTTTGGCAAGAAA